TCACATATTTAAACAATGGACTGAGTCACTAGTAACAAATGTTTACCTTGTTTAAAAGTCAATCATTACTAAACGTAATAGCCAATCAATCAGTGGCGTGGTACATTGTAACCTTTGTTAATTATTAACACAGCAACAGTTATAAATACGCCTGTTGCTGTTCTGATTATTTGTCCAAATCAAAAATAACTCTGATCAATGCTATTGAATCGACTTCTGACCATTTCCACCCCAAATCCAGGCGAGTAAACCCTTCTCATTGTCGCTTTGTGCGTTTGCACAGGTGAATGGCCTGGGCCACAGTCCCTGTTTCTCTGGTTTGATTTCACGAACGCTTTCAGTAACCTAAAATACTACACTTTGAACTTTTCAAAATAAAACATTTACTGTTGTTTTTCACAAAAAAATAACGGACGAAACATTGAGCATGTTCACATTTCCAAGACATAAATATTACATATTGGAACGAAATAGATAATTGTTCCACAGGGACTATACTGACAAAATGTGAAATTAAAGTCAAAATTTAAAACGTCTCTTAGCTTTAAAATAATAGTTGGATAGTTGCTATGTATATCTATGGAGATAGTGGAATTTCTACTGACCTCGCTTTGTGTTTGACGGCGCTCGACTTATGAAAAGGCTACATACTTTTTTAGTGCATATCTGGGTTATGTATCTGGTCGACGATTTTGGGGGGGATTATCCATATTTTTATCATACACTTTATTTTACTATATAAAAATAATATAGATAAAATAAAATAATATTCACGACGTACAATACATCAGACTTGAATTAGATTGCAACTGTTTATATTCAATTAGGTATTCAGATGCACTATGATTTACAGGAAATTTAAACAATAAATTACACTAATAACAAATACGTTAATTTTGTCATGTTATATGCAATATGAAAGCTTATTTTGCCAGCTTTTCAACAGTATAATGCATTTTTGTGGTATCGAAAACGGGTTGAAAATGTCAGTTTTTGGTTAAATTGTGTTTAAGACTAACGCACAGTTAGTCCCTCTAACATAGTGTCCGTCTTTCTTTTTATCGGACCATTCTCCTTTTAACTCCGCGTGGCATTGTTGTACATAATAAATAACTCTCGGGATATAAAATAGCTGATGTGTTGAGGAGTTAAAGGAAAACCATGGCACATGTGTTTGTTTTTAATAATTTAACCCTAATTTATAAGGTGTTCTACTCACAATAGAATTTTGAAATTTTTACTCAAGAACATGGACATATAAAAACTTCAAGAAGTGTAATTCCACCTCTAAATGCATTTTCCCCGGAACGCCAACTTAAATAAAGTTGGGGGTTACCAACCTATTTTTCAAGATTTTTCAGAATGAGTTTGTCTTTCATATTGTTTAATAGGTTTTCCAATACTTATGTTAATGATGATATTATACATCACTTCGTAATAAGAACGATTGTGTGCTTTTCATTTTGTACGTGGTCCATTGCAGTTTTCACAGCACACGCATAGGTTTCTGTCACAATTACGAGCTAATGACGTAACTCGGTCATACAAAAAGTGATTGGTGGTTAGAACAATCCATTTCGAAATTTTAATTGTATTATTAATATTAAATTCATTACTAAATCGACAAAATGCCAACTTAAGTGTTTCTTGACTTTAATTTGATGACAAATACGCAATAGTACATAATAGTACAAAGGAAACTTTGATCTCGAGGCCGACCAGTTGTTTGTAATATATCCCAATTTTATTAAGTTTAAGAAATTACACATTAAACATAGACAAAGACATAGCAAATATATCAATACATTAATGTAAAATGAAAGACCCGTTAGCAGGTGTATTTTCTGCAGCAGAATAATGGGTCATATGCAACTTAAAGAAACTTAAAGAAATGTCTTGGGAGAAATGACTCTTCACTTTAGTATGGGTACGCCAATAAAATGAAATTATCATAATACCAAATCAGCGTAATAACACATCCTGAGCTCCCTAAGTCAACGAAACATGCGACAATACCCGTATTTCTGTTGATTGAATGAAAGGTTACAATCCTTTATGAAGGATGCATTCAGATAGTAGAGCTTGTTGTGTAAGGTGATGTCCAACGCTGGAATTTGGCTTTGAATTAATGGTCTTTCTCAAATTTAAATGAACAAAGAAAAAGTGTCAGTATCTGTTTAAAAAGAAAACTTGGCATTGGGAAATAAGCTTTGTGTGAGCACATTTACAGATATTTCCCCTAATTTGTTTAATGTAATAATTTGTCCCACTGTGGGTACATGGTCTACATGAAGGTACCAATACAAGGCTTATACAGCTGTTCACTGGCTTGTTCACTTGGTGTACCAGTCAGGTATGACGGCAGACATATCATGGATGGTTGTGCTGTTGTTGACATCGAATGTGCACTGGCCAGATGCGGTACATGTGATGGCAATTGGGCACTTGTTGTGGTAACTGCGATGACTGGCATGTGGTTGTTGGTTGTGGAACACTAGATGGCAGATGAACACTGTTTGGCTGGTAACTGTAATAGCAAGTAATCAGAGTAAAAATATTTTCATTTTGTTTATTTTTACATATTGGTATATTATGTTATACGCACTAAAATAATAAATAAAAATATGCGGTCACCGTACTCAATTCATAGATAATTGATCTATAAAATACAGTGAAAATATCAAGTTTCCTATGGCAAGGATATATCTCAAAATTTGGCTCGGTGACGTGTAGTGGAAAGGGTTATATAGTG